TCCTCAGGACTATGATTCATAAATATTGGTTTTGTCCTAATATTTTCCATAAATGTTCCTGTTGTTTGCTTTGGATTTCCTTTGTACTTTTGCTAGGATATTTTCTGCCTTCACATTCTTTCATAATGATGACTATCATTCTCTTTTTCTGTGTGTAGCATATGCTTAAGAAACATTTGTAAGACTGGACAAGTAGTGGCAAATTCTTTCAGTTTTTGTTTGTTTGGAAGATTTCCATTTTAACTTTATTTATAAATGAGAGCTTCGCTGGGTACAGTATTCTAGTTTGACAATTTCTTTCTTTTAGTACTTGGACTATTTCTCTCCATTCTCTCATAGTCTGTAGTTTCTGATAAGAAATCAGCCTTTAGTCTAATTTGGGATCCTCTGAACATAATCTGAACAGAATCTTTTCTTTATGTTTTACTATTGAAAGTTTGACTACAATGTGTCTTGGTGAAATGTTTTGTGATCATTTCTAGTAGGAGTTCTGTGTGCTTCCTATACTTGGTTTTCCATTTCTTTCTCCAAATTATGGAAGTTTTCTGCTATTATTTCACAGAATATGCCTTCTATTCCAATGTCTCTTTCCATACCTTCAGGAACACATGTATGTTTGCTCATTTGATAGTATATAATAAATCTTGAATACTGTTTTCAGATTTTTAATTTTTTCTTTTTTGTTCTTGTCTGGCTGAGATTTCCATGGTTTTGTTTTCTAACTTGGATATTCTTTCTTTGCCTCACCAAGTATGTTGTGGAGATTTTTCTTTGTATTTTCTATTTGACATATTTAATTCTTCTTATCTGATATTTCAGTTTGATTTCTCTTAATTATTTCAGTCTCTGCCAAATTTTTCATCCATATTGTGTATGAATTTATTTATCTCATGAATTTGTTTTCTGTGTTTCTGAATAATTTTATGATCATTCTTTTGAATTCATTTTTAGGCATTTCATCAATATCTTCATCTTCCCATTCTAACATTGAAGTGTTTTGACCTTTTGGGGAGTCACGTTGTCTTCCTTGTTCTTGTTTCTTGAATTTCTGCGGTTGTTTTCAGGCATTTGTGGAATTGCTTGTTGGTTTTCTCCTCTGATGGGTTTTATCTTTGAGCTATGCCTCTGTGGTTTAAGGAGGTGTCTCCTCCTTGAGTGAATATCCAGTGGTATGTGCTGGGTGGGTCCAGGAAGCTCCGGTCAACATTCAAGGGGAGGGGGGTTGAGAATCCATGGTGACACCCAAGTTGCTTGTGGTAGATTTCCTCTATTGTCAGAAGGTGGGAGGATATGATCTCACCTGCTATTGTCAATACAACCTTCCCTCCTCTCTCCCAAGGTGATCAGTACCTGAGATTAGCCCACAGTGGATACAACTCCCATGCATGCAAGCACATGAACCACACAAAGGATTTATGCAATCCTCAATTTGAGTATAGAACCCTCTGCAGTGACTCACCTCAGACATTCAGGGAGCTCTGAGCTTCTGATTCCAGACACAGTGATGGCCCAGAGACCAAGCTACATACCATACCTTATTGTGCAGTCACTGAATTCTCCATGGTCATAGCACAAAAGGCTTCCATAGTCACAGGATGCAGAGCATCCACTCTCAGCCCCATGGGCCTGCCTCACCCATGGAAAGAGCAGAGACAGCTATCTGTGTGTGCTCTGCCTTGTCAGTTTAAGTCCCAGAGCTTGTAATAAGTTCATAGGACGGGAGTACCTCACAGTCCTAAGTGGGTACCCAGCCCTCTTCCAACCCACCCACCAAGACTCAAAGTCAGTGAGGGAATGCAGGTTTTCCCCTCTGGTAAAATCTCCCAGTTGTGCACAAGCCACCCCAACCTCTACTGGCATCAAGATGGTACCTTTTCCCCACCAGTCACTGGATGCCCTTGTGAGGGGATGGGAAGAAAGAAATGTGCTTTCCCTTCACTGGATTAGCTGGATATCCTGCGCCCAATTAGAGCTTCAGGCTGGACTCAAAGTCAGAGTGATCTGCAGCGTTTTCCTTCAGGCCATATCTCCATTGGCATGGGCCATGACGGGCTGCTCTCACCTCGCTCTCAGACGCTAGTGTCTCCTCCAGGCCCTGGCTGCAGGACTCATGGGTGGTGTCCCCTCCCACTGTTTCATATCCACACGTTCCACATTGCTCCATAGCATCTCTCTTCTTTCTGTAGCATCTCCGCTACAAACTTCTATCTCTCCCCTGGGAATGCACTTCCTCCTCTTCTGTAATCTTTCCCTGGTTAAAATCAGCACGTCTTTTCCCTATTCAGCCATCTTGGAATTGCAGAACATATGGCTTTTCTTATTTAGCTAACTAGAACACCTTAGATTTGATCAAGTTGGTTAAAGTTAATTCTAAGACTTTAGAAAATAATGCCGGGAAAGAGAACATGTAAATACAGTAAATTTTGTACTAGGCATTCACAGGTAAATATCTTAGTAAATTTGTATGTCAAATAGGGTGGAGGACTTTGCTTTCAGAGATTGGAAACATCAGGACCAAAGGCCATATAACGTCTGCAAAATCATTTCACCCTGCTCAGGCAACAGCAAGTGTGACTTGAAATTTAATAAATATATAACATGTTCAACAGGGGAAATGATGAGAGGAAGCCAGCAAATGTGGCTGGAAACAAGTAAATGGTGAAGGAAGGGAGATGAGTTTGAGGAGGTAGACAGGGTCTGTTTACGGGTGTATTGCAGACCATTGAAGGGTAATGAGTTTGTTAGAATTGTGCTGGGAAGCCACTACAGGGATTTCCCTCAAGGTAGCATCATAATTTGATTTACTCTTTCCTGTGGAAGAAAAACTGATGGGACAAGAGTGGAGATAGATAATGATTTGGAGAAAATATTGTAGCAGTTTAAATTATGATTATTATGTGGATGGTGAGCTCATGAGGCAGCTGCTTGGTGGTTGAGTTTTAAAAAAAATCAGAGATAGAGAAAGAAAGATACAGAGTGAGTTTTCTTTCTGATGGTTCATTTTTCACAGCCCACAATGGTCCCAGGCTGGGCTGAGACTGAAGCTTGGTGCCAGGATCTCAATTCAGGTCTCCTATATGGTGTCAGGAATCTTGAGCTGTCACTATTGCTTCCCAGGATCTGCATTAGCTGGAAGCTGGAGTCAAGAACAGGAGTCAGGTTTCATACTTGGAAGGTCTGATGTGGGACTCTGACATCTTATTCAGTGGTTGGATTTGAGATATTTTGGGTAGGCAGAGTCAGCAAATTTCCCACATGGTCTGAATGGATATATGAGGGTGAGAGGGAAGAATTTCACTCAAGATTTTGGGCTGAAAACCACATCTGTTGAGTGAGATGCTGAAGTCTAAGGGAGAAACTCATTGTAGAATATGAGGCAAAGACCAGAGTTCTGTTGTCCCACGTTAAGCCTGAGATACTAATTAGTTCTTAAAGGGCTAGGTCAAAGGGGCAGTTGGACATATATGTCTGGAATTCGGAAAAAAAATGTTGATTCTGGAAAAATAGCATTGGAAATAAGTGCACATAAACTATTAAAGCTTTTATGAGCCTAAATTTGATTCCTTGATCTTATAGACTCAAAAAAAAAAAAAAAAAAGACTAGATAGAAAATGCAGGATTCAGAGTCCACAGCACTAAGTATTGTACCATATTGGTAGTGCTGACACTATTGCTGGCACATATTAGCTCAATGTCAGGCCATGTTGGTGAAAAATGAAAAGAAAGCTTTGTTCAGTTCAGTGCTGCTGTGTGTGTGTGTGTGTGTGTTACTGAGTAAAATTTTTAAAAAAGCACACCATATCACCATATACAAATTTATAGGAATTAATTACACACTTTTAAACATTAATAAATCAGTGAATTTTAGCAAATCAATGACCAAAAGTAACCCGTTTTTATGGTGGCATATAATGATCTGCTTTAAGTTGTCTGTGAAGACTTCGTATATTCATTTGTATTTGTATGTTTGTATTTCTCTATTTGTATATTCATTATTAGAAAGTCAGTGAAAGGTCTTCATGCAGTCAGCTCCAGTGGACAAGTGTAAATCAAAGTATGTGTGTGAATAAAGCATTTTCTTCACTGTTCTCTTACAGTGAAAACACTGAAAATTCATGTAAGCCCAGTAGTACCTACAACTGATTTATGAACCCTGAGATAGGATTTATATCTAGGTCAAGAAACAGATTTACTTGATGGGTGGAAAAATCAAATCTGGTTTTAGATATTAGCAGAAGCAGAAATATTTTTTCTTCAGTTCTGATTAAGTGGTGAACTTGGTGAATTACGAGGCAGTCAGTTCACACTTTCTCGCAGTGAAATTATGACTCAGACAGACATAGAATAGCAGGTATATATGTTTCATTTTCATAAATTTCACTTTTGCCAGTTCTTACTTCGGTTAGAATTAATGAGGGCCATATATAAAATAGTTAAGAAGATAAGCATTGGTTGCTAAGGCATCAGGCCCTCTACCTTCTACTCCCTCTTTTTGCAACATTTTCTCCTGGGAGAAAGTATTGTCATGACTTCTTCCTTGTGAATCCATCCCTTCCTGCAACACATTCCATTCACCAAACTTGATGTGAGCAAAGGATCAGACAACATGTTATTAAAGTGCTTTATAATTCCGAGATAGCTATCAACATTATCTAATTTCAGTGACACTGCCTTTGACAGTGGCTAAATCATAAACACAACTGAGTTCGGGTTAGGGACATTTGAGAGCTGCAAGTGTTGATACAGATGCCTTTTTGCTTACTGAAAACCAACTATTAAAAGGGCAAAATATCTGACTAGGAAGAAACAGACACAGCATGGTACTGTGCAGGTGATTTGTTCTTTCCTTTGAATGTCGTGAATTTCTAGATGCAAAAATTGTCCTATGAATTTCTTCATTTATTGAAAAATCATAAACTATCTTTAAAATATTTTGATATATTATGGTATATATTCTCAATGGTTCAGGAATGACGCTCTATTTTGCTGAATTTTGCCAGTGCCCTTGTGAAAGGATGTCGTTGTCTGGAAATTGACTGCTGGGATGGATCACAAGATGAACCTGTTGTCTACCATGGATATACGCTCACCAGCAAGCTCCTTTTTAAAACTGTTATCCAGTCGATACAGAAATATGCATTCTTGGTACGTGTATGTCTTTGCTTAATTATAGTTATTTAAATATAATCAGCCAATTTTCTTGCTTCAAAATCCTTTAATGTTTGGACTTTGTTTAGATCAGTAATATTTCATACTGTGGGTTATGAGCTGTTAGTAGACTGTAAAATCCATGTAGTATATAGTTAAAAGTGGATTTTTAAAAAAAAATAATATCAAGTAGTGAGACACATGTGGTTTCATAGAACTTTTTGTCTAATCATGTATGTGCATATACGTGTTTGTATGAATATTGTATCACAATGTCAGACATATTTCTCACTATGGGTTATGTTCAAAAATATTTGAGAAATAATAGACAGTAGTAAGTAATAGTGATTTTGTAACCAATATTCAACTCTTTTTTAAAAAAAAAGATTTATTTATTATTTGAAAGTTAGAGTTACAGAGAGGCAGAGGCAGAGAGAGAGAGAGAATAAGAGAAAGAGAGAGAGAGAGACATCTTCCATCTGCTGGTTCACTCCCTAGATGGCTGCAATGGCTGGAGCTGTGCCAATCCAAAGCCAGGAGCCAGGAGCTTGCTCCTGCTCTTCCACATGGGTGCAGGGGCACAAGGACTTGAGCCATCTTCTTCTGCTTTCCCAGGCCATAGCAGAGAGCTTGATCGGAAGTGGAGCAGCGAGACTCAAACTGGTGCCCGTATGAGGTATCAGCACTGCATAGCGGTTTTACCTGCTACACCACAGCACCAGCCCCCAATATTCAACTCTTTCAGTATTTCAATTTTGACAGTTTTCATGACTACAATGGTGCTATTCATATAGAATGTTCAGAAATTAACTTTGGATTTTAAAATAATTATTCAATTTATTAAAGTTACTGATGCAAATATCTAGTTCTTCCTAGAACTAAGTATAGCTTACTTACTCATCCTGGTCTATTATTTGAGTATGTTTTAGCAATGATTTATTTTTAAAGTGTTTTGGGTAATATTTGAACCCTTTTACAGCTTAGATGTTTATGTACTTCCAGACAGTTTAAATTGTTTTTATAAACTTAGTAGGAAGGATCTTCAAAAAAATTCATGGAAAATGCACATTAGTTTTAGGTTCTGTTTTCCCTAAGTATTTTGAAGTGCTCTCATATATTTGATTTCTCAGGTCAGTACTTCAATTGTAATGCAATTATTATATAATTAGTGATTTAATAAAGTCTTACTAAGTACTTAAACAATATATATTTAATAAGCCCATAAAATATACCTATAATTTAATAAAATTTAAGTTCTTATGATGATGTCAGTATACTACAAAATCTATAAATATAAACCTAAATTCACAAAAATTATATCATATGTCCTATTATATATTAAAATAGAATTTAAATAAACATTCCTAAGATATGAATACCAAATATACACAGTTTTTCTTTTTATATGAAAACATTCATATTTTTCATTGATTCTCTTCAACATCTGATTTTTGATGATTTCTAAGCTTATATCATCCTTCCAACCTCTCTCTTGAACTCTATGCAAAAGTATGCAAGTACATTTTTAACATTCTCATTTGATTGTTGAATGGGTATATTTAACTGAACAAGTTTAAAACCAAGCTCAATAATTTAATCTTTGTACCAATCTTATACCATCTCTGGTCTCTTCCATCTCAGTCATTCATAAATTCCATATGCCCAAGTCAAAAATCATTGTCAACTTTAGATCTCCTCTTCCCTCAAACCCCTGAATCAATTCTTCAGCAAATCATCTTGGCTCTACTTGAAAAATATATCCTAAATTTAAGTCCCTCATCCAATTCTACTGTCACTCTGCTGATCACCTCTCGCTTGGATTATTGTAGTGGCTTCTTTCTGTCGCTCCCCCTCTTCGTGGAGGAATGACACTGGACCCTGCGCTGTTATTTCGTCTGCTCGGCCCTCCCCGGGTTTGCTGCTGGTTCTTCCCGGGTTGGCTACTGTCCCTTCCACCTCCGTGGAAGGGCGGTTCCCCCTGGCCACATTCCCCACTTCCGCAGGGGAGCGGCACACCGCTGGCCGGCTCTCTCGGGGGCTGCACAGGTGTTCCCCTTAGATGTTCCCCTTAGATGTTCCTGGTGCATGCCGTCTCTCTCCTCCTTTATAGTCCTCCTCCGCCAATCCCAACTCGGCTGCCCACACACCGAGTACGCTGCTCTCCTCCAATCAGGAGCAAGTCCTACAGCTTATTGGCTGAACTGGAGGCAGCTGTGTAGAAGCTGTTTTCTCCTCTCCCAGCGCCATATTGTGGGAGAGCAGATGCATAGAATAAGTCTTAATTCCAGTAACTTAGTCTAGTCCGGGTTGCTCCCCACAGATCCCCCTTTCTTTTTATTTTTTGGCGTTGATACGCGCCTGTCTTCGGTGCCCTGCGGCACACACTCTGCTCTGCTTGCTAGAGTTGCCACAGGTTCTTACAAGTCCTATCAATCAGGCAAACCGAATCCGGGTCCTCTCTTCGCCATGTTGTGAGGAGGTTTTTAGGCGCTGATGCGTGCCTGTCTTCGGTGACCTGCGGCTCATACTCTGGTCGAGCCGCCTGCTGGTGCTTACCGCCTTAATCAGGCAGACCGAATCCAAGCTTTCTCATTGCCATATTGTGGGGGAGACTTATTAGTGTTGGTTCGTGCCTATCTTCGGTGACCTGCGGCTCATACTCTGGTCGAGCCGCCTGTAGGTGCTCATCGCCTCACTAATCAGGCAGACCGAATCCAAGCCTTCTCATTGCAATATTGTGGGGAGGCCTTTCTATTTCTCTATTTCTCTATCTCCGGGCATTCCTATTTCTCCTGTTTTACTTCTGTCTGCCAACATTCCTATTTCTCTCATTTTACTTCTAAACTTCTGTTTCTCCTATCCCTGCGGCTTCCCGGCACCCGCCCCGAGGCTGCTTCTCGGCGGCTTTCTGGCTCTGAGCCGCTTCAGCCTGCGCCTCTCTCATCTGCGCAGCTTCACACTAGCCCAGCGTTCCCTATCTACTTGAGCCCCGCACGCTCTGTCTGCGCGCGGCAGCCTCCGCGAGTCACACAGCGTAGCTTACATCTCCGCCACTAGCATTCAATCCAAGTTCCCCGGGCTAACCTGGCGAATTCAACCCAGCTCACGTCTCCGCCCCACGATTTGGCTTCCCGTCCTTTGCTCCCCGGGCTAATCAGGCGGATCCCAACCGGGCTTACGTTTCCGCTTCTGGTTTTAACTTTTCGCCCCCTATTCCCGGGCTAACTTGAGAATCCCAAAGTGGCTTTCATCTCCGCCTTGGCCTGCCCCCCGCGGCTTCAATTTCCCTAACATTTTTCTCTACCCGGTATGTTTCCCCAAGCTTTCCTCCAACAATACTCCTCCCTCATTTCTCCTGGCCTCTCCCCACAGTCCGCATCCGAGTCTGTTTGTTCTAGCTTTCACTTTCGCTTTCAACCTTAGAGATTTCTCCCAGCTTCCCCCTGTAGTCCGTATCTGAATCTATGCCTAGGCTTTCAATAGCTTCTTCCAGCACCTTTTTCGTCCGGCTTTTCCCTAGGCTGTTTGCTAGTCTCTCTCTCCGATATTTTCCACTTCTTCCCGTTTCTTCCCTCCTAAGTTTTTTATCCGTCCTAGGTTTCCTATCCGTCCTAGGTTTCCTAATCCGAGTCGCGGCACCATTATGTCGCTCCCCCTCTTCATGGAGGAACGACACTAAACCCTGCCTAGGCTTCATATCCGAGTCACGGCACCATTATGTCGCTCCCCCTCTTCGTGGAGGAACGACACTGGACCCTGCGCTGTTCTTTCGTCTGCTCGGCCCTCCCCAGGTTTGCTGCTGGTTCTTCCCGGGTTGGCTACTGTCCCTTCCACCTCCGTGGAAGGGCGGTTCCCCCTGGCCACATTCCCCACTTCCGCAGGGGAGCGGCACACCGCTGGCCGGCTCTCTCGGGGGCTGCACAGGTGTTCCCCTTAGATGTTCCCCTTAGATGTTCCTGGTGCATGCCGTCTCTCTCCTCCTTTATAGTCCTCCTCCGCCAATCCCAACTCGGCTGCCCACACGCCGAGTACGCTGCTCTCCTCCAATCAGGAGCAAGTCCTACAGCTTATTGGCTGAACTGGAGGCAGCTGTGTAGAAGCTGTTTTCTCCTCTCCCAGCGCCATATTGTGGGAGAGCAGATGCACAGAATAAGTCTTAATTCCAGTAACTTAGTCTAGTCCGGGTTGCTCCCCACACTTTCCTAGTGTTTCTGCTTCTCTCCTTACTTTTCTGCAGTCTGATATTAACATCTCCATCACAGTGACTTTGATTAGTGGTCATGTCATTTCCCTTGTCAATACCTTTAAAACCACTCAGAATAAAAGCTAAAACCCATACTGTCACTCACTAGGCTCTATGTGATTGGTTTCTCATTACCTCTCAGAACTCTCCTGCTATTCTATACCCGATTCATTTGACTATCCTGGTTTCCTTAGCCTTTTCCAGACTCATCTCAAATATTTGCATAGGTAACTCTGTCACTTAATGCAGTGTAGGTAACTGAGGGAATTAAGAGAAATGAGACCATCTTAAATTCATAGGCCCTGCATGGATGGAAAATAGTTTCCAAGAATCCAAGAGCAAGAAATGAGTGATTAGACTGAAAAATAAACAAAAAAGTATCCAAATTGGAATTGAAGAAGTAAAAGTATCTCTTATGATATGATCTTATATGTAAATAATACTAAATTTCCTACCAAGACCAATCACAATTCTTGGAACCAAAAATTCATTCAGTAAAGGGCAGGATACAAAAATCAACATACACAAATCTATAACATTCTTAAATACAAATAGTGACCTAAATGAAAAAGCAGTTAAGATAATTACCCCATTTAGGATACATTTCCTTAAATACATTTAGTCAAGGAGGTAAAAGATCTGTATATTGAAAACTGTGAAGTACTGATGAAAGAAATTGAAGAAAAACATGAATAAATACAAAGCTATCTTGTATTCATGGAGTAGAAGAATTAATGCTGTTAAACTGTCCATG